CCTCCTACATGGCAGTGAATGCTGGACAATCTCCTTACAGATGAAGAAGAGAAATGTGGTTCTACAGAAGGATGATGAGAATACATTAGGCCGAACATGTGCACAACGACGATATTTTGGAGAAAAACGACAATTATACTTAACATAAAAATAGTTTAAATTTCTAGAGCACATAATGCGGAAAGCGGGTTTGGAAAATTTGATACTCAAAGGGCAGATTTAAGGCAAGAGGGACTGGGAAAAACAGCGTATAAACTACCTAGCTTGAGTAAATGGATGACTGAACTGGTTTTTAGGAGCTTGTAACAAAAAGTCCAAATTTATTAAAGGTTACAAAGGAGTGGGAAATTTAGAGAGTCATGATTGCCAATTCCAGAAGGGACAAGATACATACAAGGGGACGGTTTCCTGACAGTTCTGGGTTCAATCCTTGACATAGCATGTGTTCCGTTTCAGCGGAAGAAAGAATGAATCGAGATTCCGAAAACGACGTTAGACATTAAATTTCCGATCTTCTTAAGATCGGAAATTTACCGGACGAAACAATGAATATGCTTGTGCGAATAGTTAGCTATGTAACAATGATAATTCATCATTTATAAAATATCAACATGGAAGAAAGATCCAGAAAACTTGTACCTTCGTGCCGGAAAAAAAAGACGTGTCAAAAAGGAGACTTTTTTCCCTTGACGCCACTATTATTTTAACTACCTTCACTCCTCGACAACGTTCATTCTTTTAAAAAACGAGGATTAGAATTGTAATAAAACCTATACATGCGAAATATTTATAGAAATATTTATTAGATTTACAAGAATAATTTTATATTTACAATAATTTAAAAAACTAATGCAATGCAATATTTATCATTTAGCAATTTATATAGAAATATATGTGAAAACAAGTTTTTATACATAAATTTATTTATTTACTAAATTAATAAAATTTGGGATCCAGCTATAAGGAAATCCTTATTATTTACTATTTTATAAAGTTCGAATCAATTGACAATAGGAGTAGATAGATTCGCCTATTCCACGGAGAAGACGTTTATCCTTTGTTTCCTATTTAGCTTTGGTTTTCAGTTTCCTTCTAAAGTCTACATAAACTCTGACGTCATCGCCTAAACTCTGAAAATTTATTTATTATTTTATTTATTTATTATTTATTTATTTTTTTACTAAAGAGGATTCGATAGGTTTGCTTCTCGTCCGGTTCACACTTCTCCACGGTTTTTTGAACAGGAGTAAAATTTTATTACTTTTTTTTTCCAAAATTCAAAAATTCCCATTGAGTCTTAGTGATATTATCACCTTGCGTGGGGTGATTTCATTAAAAAAATAGCCGTTGTTTTGCCAACCATTCTAATAAACATTGTAATAAATAAAATGTGTTTATTATTTTTGTTGTCAATCCTCAAGAACAAATAAAATGTCTAAATTCCCTTTCATTATATTTCTAGGTTTTATTGAAATTCTAATCATAGCTTTTTAAAACAACGAACATTGCCGAGGATGAAAGGTAGTTAAAAAAATAATTGTGGTGTCAACGGAAAAACCTTCCTTTTCACACCGTTTTTTTTTTTTTTTTTTTTTTTTTTTGAGCACGGAGGTTTAAATTTGTCAAAAGATTTTTCAATATTTTCTGTTCTATAGAACCGTAGGTCCGACTGTTATGTGAACGTTTTTTGTTTTTTTTTTACTTCATACTTGCAAAAAAGATCATTTGGTGATTATATAACTTGTGAGAACTGCGAATGGGACTAAGTTTTCTATTTTCAGGCGTAGGAATTTTGCAGTGTGATTCGACCAACGTGTGGTTGTGTATTGTCCTCCAGCAAAATGATACATTTTCCGGTGAAATCATATGGATCTCATTACTTGAACTATTGCTTTCTATTTTCATTCCTCTAATATTTGACAACAAACATTTGCGATGATACCTTTGCCCTGTGGGTAAAAACTGTAATGAACTCTGTTGATGACAGAGGTGCAATCATTTACTCATGAAATTATTAATATTTTCGCAGGGGTATTTATTAGAGCAATAAATTGTAATGGTAATATTAGCTGTTTCCTTATAAGGAAACATTAGACATCCATTGATCGAGCCATCGATACTACCGTCGGTTGAAATTTATAAAAACTTTCTCATAAAAAGGTTTTCAGGAAAATAGGTTTCTCGAGAGCTGTTTTGCTAGAAGCTTCTTAAACTTTTCTTCGAAGTAGTTTTTTAACATTTTCATTATGTCATAATTTTTTCGACTTGCATGTGATATCCAGTGTCTATATTTTTGCCTCCAGTGTAAATTGGACCTATGTCCACCTTTTTGATACGATCATAATACCAGACATACGTCTAACTTTTCGTTTATCGTAAAAACTATACCCGTGTCTGCCATTTTGAGGCTAATAAAAACCGGAGGTTTGTCTACCTTTTTGAATATCGAAGAAACCGGAACTATGATTTTTTTTAACTGTGATGTTTTTGTTATTATTATTATTATTATTATTATTATTATTTTCTTTGATATCTGGCGTTTACACATTTCTTTCCAGGTCCTACCCAGGGACCTAAGGTTGGAAATGGCATCATGACACTTTCCACTGAAAAAAAAAATTACATAGATAAAGCCCTTCGTAAAATGTGGGCTGTACTTGTCAGAACAATTTTTTGTATCTCTTTGAGGCATGGACTTCCAGGAATCCCTTCAATTAGTCTACTGGAATCTTTTCCAACCAATCATACGGCTCCAACTACAACGGGAATAGTTGATGTTCCCATATGCCACATTTTTGAGATTTCTATTTCAGGGTCCTTGTATTTTGATAGCTTTTTGAATATCTTCAAAGATACGTTGCAGTCTGCAGGGACTGCCATATCAATACGGAGGCACTTTTTGTTATTATTATTATTATTATTAATAATATTATCCCTTTTCTTCTTCTTCTTTTCTTCTTGTTCTTCTCCCCCATCTTGTTCTTCTCCTCCTCCTCCTCCTGCTCCTCCTCCTCCTTCTTTTGACATTATCATGTGGTCAACTCAATCAATGTTTACCTCGATAGCGGCAGTTGCAGGAGGTCCAGATTTTGGGTCATCTCCAAGGCTCTCCCTCCCCCTCCTAAATTCAGCTGCCCACTTTTACACTGTTGACAAAGCTGGAGCATCATCCCCTTATACAGCAACCCTTTCAAGATGAATATCCTTAGGGATAAACCCTTTTTCCAGGGGTACTTGATAACACCACGATACCAAGAGAAGACGCTACTTGTTACATTTGAAGTCAGATGCCAGTTTGCCTGGAAAGAAACAATGCAGTTATTAATAAGAAGAGACGAAATTAACGCATGCAACATGTCAAAGTTGTGCCATCATTGCTTCATATCAAGCCTCTGCACTTTTTCATCCCACTCACTACATCCGCGTCCTGGGTAAGACGATAAACTACGCCCAACAGCAAGATCAGAAGATTTTAAGGAACATTGGAACCACCTCTTAGTTGCTGGTGTTCCATTCCACCCTGATCCGGGGTGGTAGCACCTTGTTTCTTTCCCAGCTATGGGCAAATAGTTAAATTTAACTGGTTATGAAAGTGTGAAAATAGGTTTTAATAACAGAAATTTTTTTTTTTTAATTATTACCAGAAATACATTTTTAGAAATTAAAATATTACCAACAATAAAAAACTCGTTTGCATTAAATATTCCACTGATGCTGATATGCCGTAAAACAAAAAAAAAACAATCTATAATTATGAAGCTGTAAGAAATGAAAAAATAGAAATTAATTTTTTTTTAACAAAATAATAAAATGATATAGGAACGAAAGAAACGCGAAAAAGAATAAACAAAAAAATGAAGGAAACAGAACGAAGGAAAATGAAAAAATTTAACAAACAGAACGAAATGAGAAAAAATAAGTAAAATGAACAGGAAGTAATTATAAAGGGAGATGAAAATGGTGGAAAGTAGAAATAACCACGACATTTGACAATTACGAACATACACACACGCGCATACACACATACACAGATACACACAAACAAATAAATAACAAAAACAACCTAACAACAATAATAAGATCACCGAAGTAGCACATAAATTAATCAAGTAAATCAAACTTAGTAATAAAATAACGAAGATTAAAAAAAAACAGCAGTTAATTGCTGAAATTCTGGTGAGTTGTCCGAACAATGCAGTTATTAATAAGAAGAGTTGAAATTAATGCATGCAATATTTCACAGGTCTGGTGTAATACTTTCATAGTCAGCCTATGAACATTTCAGCCAACCAGCGTATTCTGGAAGAAACAATAAGAAATGAAAAAAAAAGAGAAATTAATGGGAAAAAAAGAAAACAAACAAAATGTAATAGGAACAAAGGAAATGGCAAAAAAAAGAAAGAAAAAATGAAAAAAAAATGAAGGAAAAAATGAAAGAAAAAATGAAGGAAAAAATGAAAGAAAAAATGAAGGAAAAATGAAAGAAAAAATGAAAGAAAAAGTGAAAGAAAAAAGAAAGAAAAAATGAAGGAAAAATGAAAGAAAAAATGAAAGAAAAAATTAAGGGAAAATGAAAGAAAAAATGAAAGAAATAGAACGAAAGAAAGTAAAGAATAGAAAGAGAAATGGAGTCAAAACGAATGTGATGGAATGAACGAATATAAAAGAAACCAGAAAAAATGCAGAAAAAAGAAAACAAATGAAAGCACCAAAAAACAAAAAAAATGAACGAAATAAAAGCTGCACGTTGAAGGAAAAAATAAAGAAAGATTCCCAATAAAAAGAAAGAAGGAAAAACTATATCCTGACAATGCGAAATCGAATAGACAAAAACTAAAACGTGATGACTGATAATCATCTGCAAAATTTCAGGTTCGAATTCACTCAACTGCAGTTAGGAATAAAAAACCCAACCAAATTCCATCATCCTTAATTGTCCCCTTCTATCTCTTTTTATCCCTGACTATCACCAAACTGCATCACTGATCCAGGAGAGGGGCTTACGGACATTGCAAGTTGAAACACTGGTTCCCGTACGATCACCGAAGAAGCAACGTCGAGCCTGGTTAGTAACAAGATGAGTGACCTCTTGGAAATTACAGGTGTTGTAAGCTTGGATGCGTGCGTGGTGTAATTGATAACAGCTCGCACTTGGAAATCGGAGAGCCGTGTTCCAATTCCAATCGTTCATTTAGGCGCAAATACTCTTGGGAAAGGTATGAATCCACTTCTTCTCACCTAATCTATGGGTTAATTAGTAGATTATGTATAAGTAAGTCATTATTATCTCCCTTTATGTCACTCCACCCACTCTCTCTTTTTGTCTTACTCTTTATGTCCCTCTGTCTTTTGGTTTCGTTGTCAGTTGATACCAAACTTGGCACACGTGATACCAAGTGTGATAATTTCCTAATAAAATATGGAGAACATTGTAATATAAAAATATATATTCTTTATTCGTCTGCAACATTGATTTCTAAATTACAATGATCACAATCTGTTGCGAGGTTGAATCAATCAGGTACAGGGTGGGCACATTAAAACTCAAAGGAAGACGATTTCTGCTATTGTAAAATATGTCAAGAAATCTAAATAAAATATTATGGAGTTTTTTGTTTGTTTGTTTAGTTTTTGTTTTGTTTTTGTTTTGTTTTTGTTTTTTACAATATTAAAGCTTTATGATAATGCTGGTCCCTTTAAAACACCAAGACAGAAAACGACTGCAATATAAAATCAGGCTATTATCAGAGTCTCTGCACAACGGACGGCTTTGACAGACTACCGATGAATTTGGCATGCAAATTTCTCAAAGACAATATATATAAGTTGTGTTAAGCAGAACTTTATGTAATGTTCTCTTTTTTTTTTAAACCTTTCATTTTCCTGGCGAAAAACCAAAAAGATAGACTACCCTTTGCCAACAAGAATATTAGACCGATGCAAATTGAACAATGGTGTTCTTCATCAATGAAAGTAAGTTTAATTTCGTCAGATTGGATGCTAAGTACTTAGCATCTAGCGTGAAGACGAGGTTGGTTGATTTTGTTTGGCGGCATATCAATCTCTATGCGTTATTTAATGCCGGAATCTAAATATTTTGTAGGCAATGTTATGCCGTCAACTACATCATTTTATGATTTCAGAGCAAACGTGTTTTTAGATATATAATTTGTAGATAATAAATGTATTTTTCGTATTTTTAAAATGTATTGCTGGTAATTTCAATATAAAATGTATTGCTGGTAATTTCAATATAAAATGTATTGCTGGTAATTTTAATGCAAAAATGTACTGTTGGTAAATTCATATAAAAATGTATTGCTGGTAATTTCAATATAAAAATGTATTGCTGGTAATTTTAATATAAAATGTATTGCTGGTAATTTAATGCAAAAATATACTATTGGTAAATTCAATAAAAATTGCTGGTAATTTCAATATAAAAATTATTGCAATTTCAATAAAAATGTATTGCTGATAATTTCAATATAAAAATGTATTGTTGGTAATTTCAATAGAAAATGTATTGCTGATAATTTCAATATAAAAATGTATTGCTGGTAATTTCAATATAAAAAGGTATTGTTGGTAATTTCAATATAAAATGTATTGCTGGTAATTTCAATAGAAAATGTATTGCTGATAATTTCAATATAAAAATGTATTGCTGATAATTTCAATATAAAAATGTATTGCTGGTAATTTCAATAGAAAATGTATTGCTGATAATTTCAATATAAAAATGTATTGCTGGTAATTTCAATATAAAAATGTATTGCTGGTAATTTCAATATAAAAAGGTATTGTTGGTAATTTCATATTAAAATGTATTGCTGGTAATTTCATGTAAAAATGTGTTTTTTGCTATAAAAATATATATTTTATCATAAAATGTATTGTTAGTAATCTTAATATAAAAAATCATTGCTAGTATTCTTATTATGAAAATGTATTTTTTATACTTTCCTAAGTTTTTGATTTTTTTCTTGGGGATTTACTATCGACTATAGTTGGAATTATAACAGATGCAACCATCCGAGGTCAGGGTTAAACTGGGAACAACATCAATTAAGTGGTGCTTCAATCTGTCGTGCAAGACATTTTTTCTTCCCAGAATATATCTTACATATTTATGAATCGGACATGTGTCCATGCATTGAATATTGCTGTCACATATCTTGTCTGGTGCTTCTGCTATGTATTTAGTGATTCTGGATAAATTACAAAGAAGAATCTGCTATGTTATTGATCCTAACCTGGCATCTCGGCTTCAGTCACTTTCCCACTACCGTAAACTAGTTTCTCTGTGTATATTCTATAAATATTCTTATGGTAATTGCTCTAATGAGCTTTCCTCTTTGATACTTAGACTTTATTAACTTAAGCGCCGTACTAGATTGGCTGAAAGGTCTCAGCCGTTTACTGTTCCGATGGCTAGATGTAACCGTAAGTTCTATGCTAACAGTTTCTTCTTTTGCACTTCTCACCTGTGCAACTCTCTTCCGGCATCTTGCTTCCTAGTCAACTTTGATCTTCAAAAATTTAAATGCAAAGTCAGTCGTTAGCTTCTGTCTTCTTAATTCCTGCTATTTTATTGTTCTCTCTCCTTAATTAAGAACTTCTTTTTCAATATATTTTTGCGACCAGTAACCCCTTGCGTTTTTACACATTTATAAGTCTACCATTCGTCCATGCATTAAACATTGCTGTCACATCTGGTTTCACGCTTGTGCTGTGCATGTAGTCATTCTTGTTAAAATACAATGAAGAATCTGTAATGTTATCGGTCCTGACCTGGCATCTCGGCATCAGTCGCTTTCCCGCCGTTGTAACGTACTTTCTTGTGTCTTTTTTATAAATATCGTATAAGTTAGTTAATCTGTTGACCTTTCCTCTTTGTTACCAAGAGGTTACGAATTTAAGCGCCCTACTAAATTAGTTGTTATGTCTGATCATTTTATAATTGAAATGGCTAAATGTAAATGTAAGTATCTAGTCTCATAGTTTCTTCTCGTTTGTAAAACGCTTCTTACCTTCTAATACACTTTGATCTTCAAAATTTTAAATGCAGTGTCAGTCGCTATCTTCTGTCTTCTTAATTTAATTTCTTTAATAATTTTTGTTTTTATTATCCTGTCTCCTTAATGTTTTCTTTTTCCCATATTCTTTTACAGCTAGTAACCCCCCCCTTGCGTCTTAGTGTCTTTATTGCCTTGCTTGAGGTGAAATGAATAAAAACAATATGGCATGGAATACCCAAGTTCAGGTCGCAGTCCAGTTGAGAGGGCAACGGAACTGGCGACAACGCCTAATATGTGACAGAAATAGGATAACATTACGTCTGAACACTGTGACAGAATCCTGTCGTCGTAGATAAGCAGAAGTATTAGGTTGGTGCAAAAGTAATGACGTAATAATGTCGTTTTTCGACGTTAAACAATACGTCAAAAAACGGCATTATTACGTCATTATTTTTGCACCAACCTAATAATTAAAAAGTACCTCTTGTACGTAACATCACGAATCCTGTAATCAATTAGAGAAGCAGTTCTTAACTAGTGCGCCTGAAATATAACCAGGTGTATCCCAAGTTAAAAGGAAGAGTCATTTATAAATTATTTTTATATTTAAAAAAAAAATCTTTATTTTTAAAAAGCTACAGACACCAAGCATGGCTTCCATGTTTAAATCAAGAATTTGTCGTTTGATATTTTTAAATGGATGCTAAATTCCTTGCTCTTTAAGAACGAGTGGATAATCCTTTCAGATTTGTCTTCTCTTAAAAAATAAATGCTTATTTCAAAAGAATTCTTTATTATTTTCCTATTTTCTGACTAATTTTAATTGTTAATCTGAGAAAACAGTTGTATAGAACTGATAGTTTAGATATTTCTGAACAAATTCAGCATCAGGGTTATAAGTACTTTGTTCTTATCACATAGCATCTAAATCTTCTTGTTTTAGTCAAAAAAATTTGTTTCACTTTATTACTAATAGGAAATAATTGTGTGACATGAGATTGAATATGAAGCAGAAATGTTTATGTTGAATTCGGTTTGGGGTGGGGGTGAAATAAAATGTATGCTCCCATTGAAATTGGTCAATACTTGCTGAATTTTTATAAAAAATCTCGCTCTTAAAATAATTTTTCAGAAAAATAGCTCTCTCAAGTCCAGTAGCCATTATCACTCTTTCCAGTATTGATGGGAGTTTCTTTCCTAACCTTTTGTTTGAAGTAGTGTGGAATGTCAACATCTTTATGCCATTATTTTCTCTTTGAGTTATTTGGCGCTATCCATTTTAGTTGTTGTTGAAAGTTTTCATGTGACATTATTTCTGTTATTTGGTTCAGTTCTTTATGATTCTGTAGTGCCAGTCTACAAGGTTTGAAGAAGAATGGTCCTCATTAAAACTTCATTCACTCAAAGCTATTTTTAATTATTGACCTGAGAAAATAATTGTATACAGCTGACAGTTTAGATATTTCTGAACAAGTTTAGAAATAGGGTTATAAGTACTTTGTTCTTATCACACAGCACCTAAATCTTCTTGTTTTAGTCAAACAAATTTGTTTCACCTTGTTACTAATAGGAAATAATTGTGTGACATGAGAGGGAATACAGATTTTCTAAGCTTAGCATAGAAGTGGCACAAGGCCGAAGGTAGGGAGCACCCAGTGAGGATCGAACTCACTACTCAGTCGTAATTACTCTAGCGAGACAAGCTCGCTAACCATTACGCCATATCGAGGTTCCCACAAGGCCGAAAGTATGGAGCAATGAGGATCGAAAGTGACATATGAAGTAGAAATGTTTATATTGAATTCGTTTGGGAGGGGGAATAAAATTCAAAAATATTGCATTAGACGTCAGGGACAACCACATGTAATGCTGCCATAGCAAAAAAATGCTATATCTGAGGTAAGATAAAGTAACGGACCCCAGACCTCTTCAGACTTGTTTTGAATTCATTTTCTTTTCCGGGAATGATTGTTATCTCAAGGCAAAAGAGCTCAGTCTACCTTGCTACTTAACCTATTGTTAGATAATTATGGAGCCATGATCTTCCCGAGGACATTAGTGGTCGACACAGAATCGACCGATTTCACTCTC